TTTTTTTTTTTTTTTTATGGAACTCAAACTTAAAACTATAAATTAAGCTAAAATAATATTTATAAGTTGATCCACGTATTTACCAGTCCAAGATTTAGTGTGACTAATAAATAAAGGCATGCCCCACTAATTTCTGCACACCCTCAATAACCATTTATGTAATTGGCTTCAACATACATTCCCTTAATGGTCTTCTTAGTGATTGTACATATGTATGTATCTATGTCCAGCACTTTAATTTGTTGATGTCCCAAATTCTCTCACTAGCTTGATGGATGAAACTGAGTCTCACAGTCCCTTAGGCTCACCCACGATTAGCCCTACGACGACAAGCAAGCCTTGTAGCCCTGCAGAACATGGCATGAACTTGATGGTTGTATTGGCAGCCATAGTGTGTGCCTTCCTCTGTGCCCTTGGTCTCAACACAATGCTACAATGTGTGTTCCAATGTGCCAATCGCGTCCTCACGGAGCCCCTTCAGTGGATTGCCTCACGCAGGATCAATTCTGGCCTAAAGAAGAAAGAAATGGTGGCTTTGCCAACCCAAACTTATACCAATTCTGGCTCTCCATCTTCACCTTCTAATTGTGCCATTTGCTTAGTAGAGTTCTCTGATGGGGACAAGATAAGGTCCCTCCCAAATTGCAATCACCCTTTTCATGTTCATTGCATTGATAAGTGGTTGATTTCTCATTCTTCTTGCCCTACTTGTAGGAACTTCGTTAAGCCCACTGATTCGGATCACTCCTTGCATGTTCTTGTATCCTAGTTTGCTTAATTTATTAATTCTACCTTAGCTTTTTCTTATGCATATTTTTCTGTGCTAAGTGACCACTAGTCCACTAGACATCAATATGTGTTATGGATTTCAGCCTAATATATATATCATCAACTTAATTTCGCCACAAAATGAATTATGTGATTGGAATTGGATCACATCTGATTGGCTTTGTTTATTTTATTTTTTTTCTTATAAAAACAATTTTTTATTTTTTTATGTATTTATCTATTTTTTTTATAAAAAAAAAGCAGTTTCATGTTTATTTTTAGAAGTAACTTCTTTCTGAAAAAAATATTTTTTTTAAAGCAATCGTTTAAAAATAATTTTTTTATGTTTAAATAAATGAACTTATTGTTATGTTTCAGTTTTTGAATTTAGATTATTATTTATGGGTTTAAAATATATATATCTAGTTTGTGTAAATGTAAAAAAAAAAAAAAAAAATTGGTTTTAGTCTTTAAAAGATGTTAATTGTATTTCTCATAAATTTTTTTTAAATATTTTATATTTTATATTTTGTATTATATAGTAATAACATGATATCTATTTTATTCAGGTGTATATTATGATAAAGAATATTTTAATATGATATGTGATGTAACATGTCTAAATACATATCATTGTTATCACTAAATATATATATATATATATATATATATATATATATATATTTTGCCTTCAAAAGCTTCTCAATTTATAATAACGAAACCGAAAAAAAAATAAAACTAAAACAAAAATTCATCATATTTATATAGGCTAAAATCATAAAATTTTATTATTCATTTTATTTTAATTATAATTTAATATACTTTTAATTTTCAAACCTTAGCTAATGCGTGATTATAATCTTAATTAATTTTAATTTGGTTATATTTTATCTTCTTAGATTTCCAATACAATTATCCAAATTAACATGCTTGCGTTGCTTGTATGTCTTATACTTGGTAAGGTTATATTTTCACGTTAAAATATCCCAAATAAAAAATAAAGCTTAATTATTGTGACGTGTATGGAGGTTTGTTAATATTCTTTCTTTGTAAATGCATATTCTCTTCCGACATATCTAAGTGTGTGATAAAGCCACATTTGTCCCATCACTTTGTGCGGATTAGCATTTCATGCCTTTACAAGAAGAAACAAGAAAACTATGTAACATTTTAAACTCAACGATGTCAATAGAATCATAATAAGTGGCAAGATGAGAAAGTGACAAATTGGGAAAGATTAATCTTTCTCCAGTTCGTAAAATCGATGGACTTATTTATTTAAATTTGAATCTATTTGATCAAAGTCTAAAATATATAAGATGCGATTAAGTCAAATTGATGTTTTAATTAAGTATATTAATATTAACATATGTATATATAGTTAAATTGTAAAATAAAATAGATACAAAACTTAAATTAAAATATATTTTACGTATATATATTTTAAATAAATATTATTATTATAAATATAATATATTTTTATACAAACTATTAAAAAAAGTTATATTATAAATACATAATAATTCTAAGAATTTATAAATTTTAAAAGAATGAAGAAGAAAGTCCGAAACATAATATGAACTTGCCATAAAAATTATATTAGATCTAATCTTATGATCTAAGTCCATAAAAAATACCTAACAAATATTTTTTAAAAAATAAAATAAAATAAATTATATTTAAATATATTAGAATTCAAAATTTTATTTCATATTTTTTAAAAAATATCTAACAAATATTTTTTAAAAAATAAAAAATGTTCAATCATAAGTGACCAATAATGAAGAGTTATACTTTTACAACTAAATGTTGTACCTATGAAATATCCTTAATGGTGTGTTTGGATATCCCTAATAGTGTGTTTGGATGAGAAATTTTAAATTCTTAGTATTTGAATTACTTTGATTTCAATTTCTATCATTCTTAAAATATTGGTCAATTCAAATTTATCAAATTTTAAATTGTTAGGTTATATTTGATAATTTGATTTCACCATAATAAAATTGATTTTAAAAATATATTTATATGTTAATATTTTTAAATTAAATTTTATAAAAATAAATATTAGCTAATTTTTAAATATTTACTAATTCTAAAAATTAATATTAGATAATATTTAATAATTTTAAAAATATCTTTAAATATTCAATAATTAAAAACATGAAGAGATAAGAGATAAAATAAAATATATAAGTGAAATAAGAAGAAAAAAATATGAGGAATTTCAAATTCTTACTCTTTTGGGAGAATTTGAAATTCTACTATTTCAAGGAATTTCACAAATACTTGAATTTCAAATTCCTTACAAATTCCTCATCCAAACAAGGTATTTCACCTCAAAAAATTTGAAATTCTTCAAATAAATGAATTGCTCCATTTAAATTCCCCATCCAAAACACACTATAAAGAAATTCATATAATTTTATTTCACAATAAATCATTTGGCATGGTTATATATTTTTAAACTATATCATATGGATAATTTCTTTAAATATTAAGGAATAGCTAAGGTCAAGAATTTATAATTATTAGTTTACTTGACTATGTTGACTTGTAATACTTTAATTTCCTCGCATTTTGAGTTTTTCGTTAGCAAATTTATTATTTCATCAAATAAAAATTCAAACTTTATTAAAATTTAAAATTAATAAAAGTTAATCTTTTTTCTTTTAGAGACCACACGTATCAAGTGTTGAAAAAAGTCCCACTCAAGCTTAAAAGTTAATCTTATCATGTACGAAATAAGATTTCTGTTTATGAAGACTTAGACACCCCTAGTGTTTAATATCATCATTATAAATAAAAATTAAATTGCGTTAAACAGGAATCAAAGATGATTGGCTTTGTATAAAATATTCGTATCACACATATTCTTCCTAATAAACTTCTTTTTCATTTCATTTTTCACTTCTACAATAGGACATGAAAGGAGCATGTAGCATACCACATTGAGAAAGTAATAGTGTGTTTGGATGGGGAATTTAAATAGAGTAATTCATATATTTGAAGAATTTCATATTTTTTTAGGTGAAATATCTTGTTTGGATGGAGAATTTATAAGGAATTTGAAATTCAAACATTTGTGAAATTTCTTGAAATAGTAGAATTTTAAATTCTCCCAAAAAAGTAAGAATTTAAAATTTCTCATATTTTTTTTCTTCTTATTTTACTTATATATTTTATCTCATCTCTTTATCTTTTCATGTTTTTAATTATTGAATATTCAAAAATATTTTTAAAATTATTAAATATTATCTAATATTAATTTTTAAAATTATTAAATATTTAAAAATTAGCTAATTTTTATTTTTATAAAATTTAATTTAAAATTTTCAACATATAAATATATTTTAAAAATCAATTTTACCATGGTAGAATCAAATTCATATCCAACCCAACAATTTAAAATTTGAGAATTTTGAATTAACTTATCCAAATAAAATATTTTAAGAATGATAGAAATTAAAATCAAAGTAATTCAAATACCAAGAATTTAAAATTCCTTGAATTTGTAAAATTTCTCGTCCAAACACGCCATAATGCTTTCAATAAATGTTATTCATTTCTTTGCAACACTTGCCATGTGATGATTTCCTTGCTTGTGAAGAAATCCTAATCATAGCCACAGGAAAAAGAAAAAGTAAAAGATTGCATTGAAAGTGTACGTACCCCCACCCGGTTACTCTCGAAATTATCTTCTTAACAATAACAGAGATATCAAATCAAACTATGTACAGATTACAAACCATTTTGCATAATGTATGACTTCTTATAGTGTCATTCTAGTAACCATTACAGAAAGGATATAGCTTTAGTTATAGAACGGTTTGAAATCTATAAACACACAGGTTTATTTGGCACTTTAGTCGGTGTAGTATTCATCATCATATACTTCATCATCATATACTTCATCATCATCATCATCATCCCACTCATCATCATCCCACTCATCATATAGAAGAGATTTCAGCTGCTGTGCCCTTAATCGTTCTTGTATTCTGTCTTTGATTGCTGTTCCCTACGATATCAGTAAACCAACTAATTAGTCCATCGTAAGATCTACAATGCAATATGGAAGTAGGGATCAATTAGGACTTATTTGAATATAAGTTAGAAGTGCTTTTAAAAACTTTTTTTTATTGAAAATAAAACGTATTTTTCGGTAAAAAAAAATTCTCAAAAATGTTTTTAAACTTATATGTTGTATCCAAACAAGCTCAAGATCTTAGGCAAAAAATAAGTCACTGGTTATTAACTAACAATAGTAAGCTATCTTTTGGAGAGGTAAAAGAGATCCTACCATTTTGTGGCAACCTTCTTCAAACATCTCGAGAAATCCAGCAACCAACCGATCAGCATTTTCAACCCATTCGTTAGGGTGCATTCCAGCAATTTTTCCCACCGTTTGAATCTGCACAGTTCAACAACAGAGTATGTGTTTGGTTTTCCATTAAAAACTCAAAAAATCACGTTTAACGGAAAAGATTAAAAAAAATTCCTTCATAATTTGGTACTTTAGAATGCATGTTATTTCCATTCAATGAAACTCGATGATAAAACAATCATACCAATAGTCTTGCTCATCATATGAGAATCATTCATATATTGCATTGGAAATCATGTGAGGAATAAGGATTATAGTTTAAAACAAAAATGTGAGATTTTTTACTGTCACTTCAGCAAAGGACAGAAAATAAATAACAATAATGTATAGTATATTGCTGTGATCCAATGATATTTAATTCCTCTAAAGTAAACAGCTGTTTAAAGTGAGAAAGTGATGGTCTATCTATCATTGATTTAAAGTAAGTTATGTTTACAAAATGCTTTAGTATAAAACTTTAAATCAATGGTTGGTGGATATGCTCTCACTTTCTCACTTTACACATCTGACTTTAAAGAATCCAAATACAGTGCAATGCCATAATATGTGTTCTCTACCACATCTTCAAGCTTGCCTCTTTTTTCCCAATCATCCACTAGAGACCTTGCCCTAAAGGCCATGCATATCCTTCATTTCCGGCATTCCGCTCCATGCACCAATGTTCCAACTGCGAGTGAAAGAGCATCCCACCTCTGATCAGGCCACCACTGGTTCCATTTCCACTTGCCTAAATGTCTTCTCTTCAAAAGAGGCCTCATTTTTTCCAAAGCACTATCTTAAAGTCATTATGGTACCTTAAGGTTTCATTTTTTGGCTTTTATGCTTTGACCCATGACTAGTACTATTACTACTTCTGACTTCTGAAGTACCTAACGGCATACAAAGGAAAAGGCCCTTATATGGTTCATTACCTTTTTTATGTTGTTGACCCTATATGGTTTGCCTTCGGAGTACTCTACCAAACAAGATCAAATTTTGGGTTTACCTACTATCCCTATTTTGACCACAACTATAGCCAAACAATTAACTAAATTCCCAAAATACAATTGCATCAACAAATAATTATTAATATAATAACCATAGATATTATTCTATTATTCTCCTTTGCCAATCCACAATACATTATAGCAACCCAATCTCTAATTATTAATTGATGGGGTCAGCTGTTTTCACAAGGATAGCTCTAGTAGGATTGAATCAGGATATTGTATTTTTAGGTCACTAAACAGTAATTTATTTGGTAGACAAATAAATGTTTAAAAAGGCATAAGGTTCAGCATTACTCGATTCTAAAATATGCTTTCAAAAACTAAAAAGAGAACTAAGAAATCGCTACCATTACTTCAAATGGTTCCTTCAATTTGACACCAACCATTTAAATCAATTCCTAGTTTGTGTTACACACTACACCTAAGAATATCTTTTAAAACCAAAAAATTAAAATTAATGTAAGACAGCAATGAATCCAGTGTCTGAACAATGGTAGTTATACAAAGATAAAAGCAACACAAAATTAAGAAAGACAAAAATCAAACCTAGAAAGATTTATAATTAATTAGTTGTCATACAAAGATAAAAGCAACACAAAATTAAGAAACAAATAATATTTTCTGAACAATGGTAACTTGCCCGAAAGACTCATCATCTGCAAACAGTTACCGATGAGAATAAAAAGCAAATTCTAATAAATAGCTAACAGGATATTTCGTGATCAACATTGTTACCTTCTTTCCCACTTTCTCTTGCTGTTTCTTCACTCTCTCCTGCAACTTTTTAAGTCCCATGTTCATTCTCAACCTCTTCTCCTGTGAACAAGTGATTGTGTAACAAAGATAAGTTTCCCCAATAAGCAAGAAAGCAAACCAATAATAAAACTATTACCAAAATAGGAAATTTTTTAGAGCAAGCAAAACAAGCTGCTAACCAAAAGAACAAACCTTGACATAGCTGACACCTAGATCCTTTCTTGTATAACCACGTTCCAAATTACGCATTACATATTGATTATAATCTTTAATAATTCTCATTATTATATCAGAAGTAGAAATTCCTTCAGTCCGCTTTGTTTCTTTAAATTTTCCAACAGACTTGACCTACATATGAAATTTAAAGGCATAAGATCATAAATGGCAGCTGAAAAGTTTTAGATGGTTACAAATAGTCTTAATTTGATACAGAATGACATGGTTAAAGATGTAAGAGAAGACTGAAGAAAAAAAATTAAAGAAATAAAATGCAGCAAGCCATAGGCCAATAAGCTTATATTCGAAGAAAAAAAGGCATGAAAACCAGATCATAGGAGAAATAAAAGTGAATGCTACCAGAGAGAGAGGAGCAAAGGACATTCAATTATTTGAAACTAAATTAGAACATAGTTCTATCACTTGAACTTACGTATTCATACACATCCTTTCCAGCTCCACTTGCATCAGCATAACTATGGTAATAGAATAAAGAAAAGGAAGGAAGTAATAACATATATGAGAACATATAAGAACTTAGAGAAAATGGTATCAGTCAGAATATATGTAATAATGGAAGGAGAACAGTACACAGATAGAATAGCAGGATCATCAAATACGTAACCAAAGAATAATAATAATAATACAACAAATACTTCAAAATTGTATCATACCCATACCGAATACCATTATGTGTATTATACAGCTGCCTCCATGTAAGAACTTGGGTAAAATATATTCTCACACACACACAGACACACACACACATATATATATATATATAAGAAAAGGGATCAAATTATACACTAGTAACTTTCATCAACGATTACATCAATAATTTTCAATTGGATGCTTTTCTTTTCAAAATCCACCATTAGATGACAAATCACTATAAATATCAACTACATGAAGGAAATAAAGAAATCAATTAACAAAATATAAGAAATATAAGAAATATAAATAACAATAAACCAATGAAAACACAAATTCATCCAACATAAGACCTAATTTGACAATATATGCTAGAAAAAAAACAGTCAAATTCATGAATCACAACGGACACCATAAAAGAGAGCATTGTGATATAAATTTCAAAGTGTGAGCATTTATTAAAATTATTTTTAGCCACACATGAATTACAAGAGCCAAAATTTGTCATAATTTTAGAAACTTGTACTTATCACTCATTAATGCATCAGACTTGGAATTCAAATTCAACTTCCTAATTAGGAATGACAATGGGCTAGGGAGGGCTCAAGTTATACTCTCTTGTCACCTGTCCCGTTGGATGAAATCCCGACTTATACCCACATGGATATTTAGTAAGATGATATCCATGAATTTTATGAATATTTTTTTATATTTTTTAAAACATAAAATCTTAAGCAAACAGTAAAATATTAATAAAATTTTAAAAAAACAATTTAAAATATATATGTATATGTATTTATATAAAATATAAATAATTTTAAGACATATTTGTACTAAAAATAAATAATTTTGAAATAATTATATTGAAAATAAATTAAAGCAACTTACTTTATTACTTAATATATAATTAATGACATTTAAGTAATTTTAAACTTCATGGGTATAAATACTCATTAATAGGCAGGTGGAGAATAAATCTATTTACTTTAACCACATATACCCATTAAGCTATCCATCTTCAATTTGTAGAAGATTTTACCAGCAGGTACCCATGTTTAATGGGTTTCTTTGCCATTCCTACTCCCACGAGTTGTGACTTACAGGAAATTCAGAATGCTGAATTGTCTCTTACAGAGAATTCATGGTCAATGAGTTGTGTGCAGGTATATATATCTATACCTTCATAAAAAGTAATCTGCAAAACATCTATCTTTTTCCTCCTTCAAAGCCACAGACAAATCACCTCTGTCCCATAGCAATCAATTTTCCTATCTTATATAAACCTTTATTTTCTTTTTAAGTACAAGAAATAACACTTTTCATTGCAATGCAAAACTTAATGCTAAGGACCTTTTTTGGGATATGACAATGTATAATGATAATATGTTATTTTGATGGTTTTATAACATGCTTCGGCCATGTAACATCCTATATTCCTATATATTTTCTAGGAATCTGTTGTGACCCTGTATGTGTTGGACCCTGGTGTTGATACTTTTCATCAAGTAGTCACAAATTTTAAACCTTGATCAAATACAAAAGAAAGAAACTAGCCTGGGGCTGGTTAACCTTACGGAAGACTATCATGTGCCACGTAGTCAATTTGATGCTTATCAAGGAACTCCTGAGTGATTACCCATGGTGCATCTGGAATAACTTCGTCAACCCACCTGCAGCATGTACAATTCAACTGCTTCACACACCCTAATACCATAGTGAAAGCAATTAATTGAATTGAAAATGCAACTGTCCAATATACTGTAATCAGGATAAAGCCATTTTAAATGAGCCAAACAAATGGACTGAATTAATAAATTTTCTTTGGAATATTTCAACTCTAGTTAGATTTTAGGAGACAACATAAGCAAAGAAAACTATGGAGCTTATTAAGGAAGAATCAAACTGTTTTCAAAGTAAAACCCATCCTCCAATGTATAACCAGATGAAACAGCCATATACAAATAAAATAAGGGTGACAAAAGCCAATAATTTGATCAGATCAGATCAGCACAGAAAAAGCTTAGCATCTGAAATCAGCTACAAGATGACTAACTCAAAAAAAACCTCAGCAATAAGATATGAAAAAAGAGGAATGCTAGCAACACACTC